TTTGCATGTGGTCAATTCTGTAATAGGACTCAGATGGCCGCAAAGCTGGAATGGTACTGGCCTTGGTTCAAGGAGATATGTGCTTGAATTTAACAGGGAAAATTTTACTCATATAGTAAAGGTTTGGTTTGGTGTAGATCCACTTGGCTCACTCACTTATGAAATTACTTTTTCACATTAAAGTAGTCAGTATTATATTCTCAATACCATAAATCAATGGCATTAGGTATCACTTTACTATGGCAACTTTGCTGAAACAGTTGGGCTTTGCTTTTGGTGGCTTCTGTATTGACCACAACAAACTCTGCATATGTGTTAAATTTCACTGACTGCTCTCAAGCCTGGCATTGGATTACAAGAAGTAAAATATTAGACTAATACACATCTACAGTTAAGTAAAGTGAACGCTTTGATAAATAAATGTTAGATCTGGCCATAATGGAAAAGTTTTTATTTATTACTACTTTCAGCCTAGCAAAAAAGTGTCATGGAAATTTATCAGCCCAGGCAGAAATATCTACTTACCCCCACTTTACCACGATGATTGATGATAATGAAAAAACGAATGATATTTTAGTCTCATGTCAAAAAATAAATATAAAAAACCCCAAATCACCTCAAATGAGTAAAATCTTCCCAGGCTGATTTGAGGCTAAGGACTGTGTGCCTGTAAGGTGTTAGCAGCAAGCAAAATACCACATTCTCTCTCTCCACAAAGTTGCTATATGTCTTCTTTACACATATTTTAATAGTTCTGCATTTATATCACCAGCATTCAAACTGGTGAAACATCTGAATGTTGATTTTTTTTTTACAGTTTGAAGTAAACTGTTTCTGAGGATATTTGGTCACATGAAATTCAGACCAACCACAGGAGAACACAGCAATAACAGCCAGGCAGTTCCACCCAAAGGTACTAGCTGCGCCACAGATTTCAAGGGGTGTATGATGTTCATTTCAAGCTGCTGGCAAATGCCATGTTGTAGCTGCCTGGTACCAAGCAAGTGAGAATAAGCAGGCACAAGCATTCAGCAATGGCACAAAACCAACAAGGAGCAGCCTGGTTGTCAGCAGCTGTGCGAAATCAGCAAAAGTCAAATCAATCTGCAGTGACACAGTTTTCCCTGGTGTCCTGACTTACATCTTATTGTCATGTGTGGCCTTTTCCAAAATTGTAGAATAAGTACAGTCAGAGATTTGTAAAATAATTAGAAGATCTACAATCTCTCTCTTGCCCTAACAATATAAGCTAGCACCGCATTTTAAGATACTCAGAAGTTCTATGTGAAACAATTCATGAAATGGATGCCATTTATGCACATATATTACAAGATTACAGACTGAAATCTTGACAATATCACATTTTACTGATGAATCTGTATGCTGCCTGTGGTAGGAAGAGGGATGCCTGTTATTTTTGGAAGCAAGAAGTGAATGCTTTCCCTTCCCTTCTCTAGGCTGATAAGACAGCACTAAAACTGAACATTTTATTTGAATATTGAAGAACTTTCATGTGGTTCAACTTCCAACTGTAAACCAATTAAACAGACAATTTAATTTCACTACCCTTGGCAGACACTGACTTCTTCTTTTACTGAAAAATACCTTAACTTGAGTTACAGGGCTGGTCCCTCTCTTCTCATTTTTCATCCCAGTGGGTGAGAGTGCTCCTGTTGTATTTGGTGGCTGTGGAGTAGATGGCATTTTGGCTCCAGGAGAAACTTGCATGCTTGCCAGCTGAGCTGCATACAGTTGCTGGAAGACAAGAAAATATATAATGTATTCCTGCAAAATTCCTAAAAAAAGAAGCTGTAAATGTACATAATTTTTATTGCCCTGCTGTTTCTTCTCTTAAAGAATTGTAGATAATTTTCAGCACTTTCTTGTTTGTGTCTCTTCCCTTATTATTATACAAAAAAAAGGGGG